GGGTGGGAAGGGGGATTGGGGTGGGAAAGGGATGAAGATTGGGATTGGGATGGGAATTGGGGTGGGAAGGGGATGAAGATGGGGATTGGGGTGGGAAGGGGATGAAGATTGGGATTGGGATTGGGATTGGGGTGGGCTGTGATGGGAGCTGGGATGGGCTGGGATTTGGGATGTGCTGGGATTTGGGATGGGATGTGCTGGGATTTGGGATGTGGTGGGATTTGGGATGTGCTGGGATTTGGGATGGGCTGGGATTTGGGATGTGCTGGGATTTGGGACGGGCTGGGATTTGGGACGGGCTGGGATTTGGGTTGGGATGTGCTGGGATTTGGGATGTGCTGGGATTTGGGATGTGCTGGGAGCTGGGACGGGCTGTGCTGGGATTTGGGATGTGCTGGGATTTGGGTTGGGATGTGCTGGGATTTGGGACAGGCTGGGATTTGGGATGGGCTGTGCTGGGGGTTGGGATGTGCTGGGATTTGGGATGTGCTGGGATTTGGGATGTGCTGGGATTTGGGTTGGGATGTGCTGGGATTTGGGATGTGCTGGGATTTGGGACAGGCCGTGCCGCGCACGAGGAAGGTGACGGTGCCGGGGCGGCGGCGCTGCCGGGGCGGGCAGGGCGCTGATGCCAAGCACGGAGCCGGTGGTGCCAGCCGGGCTGTGCCCGCAGGTGAGCGCCAACGGCAGCGTGGTGCTCAGCGAGGTGGTGGGCACCATCAAGCTGAAGGTTTTCCTCTCGGGAATGCCGGAGCTGCGCCTGGGCCTCAACGACCGCGTCCTCTTCGAGCTGACGGGCCGTGAGTGCCGGGCTGGGCGGGGGGGGGGGCTCAGCCCCGCCCCCCCCAGTGGGTGCCGGGCGGGGGGGGGGGGGGGGCTCAGCCCCGCGCCCCCCACCCCTCCTGAGCCCCCCGCTCCCTGCCAGGGGGGAAGAACAAGTCGGTGGAGCTGGAGGACGTGAAGTTCCACCAGTGCGTCCGTCTGTCCCGCTTCGACAACGACCGCACCATCTCCTTCATCCCCCCCGACGGCGACTTCGAGCTCATGTCCTACCGCCTGCACACCCAGGTGGGGGCACCGGGGGGCTGGGACCCCCCCCGGGGGGCTGGGACCCCTGTCGTGGGGCTGGGACCCCTGTGATGGGGCTGGGACCCCCCTCGGGGGGCTGGGACCCCCGTCATGGGGCTGGAACCCCCGCCGGGGGGCTGGGACCCCTGTCTGGGTGCTGGGATCCCCCTCGGGGGGCTGGGACCCCGTCATGAGGCTGAAACCCCCCTCGGGGGGCTGGGACCCCCGTCATGGGGCTGGGACCCCCGTCGGGGGGCTGCAAACTCAGTCTGGGGGCTGCAAAACCCTTCTGGGGGCTGGGACCCCTGTCTGGGGGTTGGGACCCCTGTGATGGGGGCTGCAAACCCAGTCTGAGCGTTCAGGGCCACACTCTGAGGGGCTGAGACCCCTCCCCGTGGGGTCGTGACCCCTCCCCCTGGGGTTGTGACCCCTCCCCGTGGGGGTGTGACCCCTCCCCATGTGTCCAGCACCTCTGTCCGGTGGCCAGGACCCCTCCTGGGGTTTTGGGGACACCCGGGGGACCCTGGGGGCCCTCCAGGCGTGACCCCTGTGCCCCCCCCCCCAGGTGAAGCCGCTCATCTGGATCGAGTCCATCATCGAGAAGTTCTCCCACAGCCGGGTGGAGATCATGGTCAAGGTGAGCCCGGGCGTCCCCCCAGCCCCTCGGGGACCCCCAGGGAGCCCCCTCCTCCCCGTGCGTGTCCCTGCAGGCCAAGGGCCAGTTCAAGAAGCAGTCGGTGGCCAACGGCGTGGAGATCTCGGTGCCGGTGCCCAGCGACGCCGACTCGCCCAAGTTCAAGACCACGGTGGGCTCGGCTCGGTACCTGCCCGAGAGGAACGT